TTCCAAGGGGTACCCCTTTAATTTCTTCCAAATTTTAGTTTTTGGCCAATAACTCCCAAACCGTTGGACATACGGAAAAATTGCATATGACCTTTCTTGTAGAGGACGACGAGATCTACAATTTGCATGTAAAAATTTTTCGCTAGCATTAATATTTAAAGAGTTATGGACGAAAAACGAAAAAACAGTTTTTTGCAAATTACTCGTTAACTATTGACGCTAGCAAGAAATTTTTACATGGTAATTATAGATCTCGTCGTCCTCTACAAGAAAGGTCATATGCAATTTTTCCGTATGTCCAACGGTTTGGGAGTTATTGGCCAAAAACTAAAATTTGGAAGAAATTAAAGGGGTACCCCTTGGAAAAATCGAAAATTTTTTGTTGTTGTTTATTATTAGCAATGTTCTTCCGACGTCTGATTTCTTTTTAAAAAATGCGTTTCTAAAGTGCATGAACTTTTGGGATTGACTGTATAGCCAATACATCCTTAATATATAATATCGTTATTTACTTCTTTCGAAATGCTTATGTACGAACACCCACGTGATTGTCTGATACATAGAATAATACATAGTGAGCGTTCGCTTTCGTCTGTGCTTGCTTCACGCTGATACCGCTTCTCATTAATTTTTTATCCTACAGTATCACACGAGACAATTTGCACATTTACACGACAACACCGTGATCCCTATATTTTTTTATTACACTCTGCACCTTTTCGTCTGTCTTTTACCAGCTACAATATTTTAATCCCTATTTACGTACGTACATCAAAACTCGTCGTCCTCTCATCGGCTCTATTTTTTTTTTCCTTGAGTAATCGCAGCACGCGAGAACGGGTCCGCGATCATCGAGCTTGCGTATTTATTCTCACCGTTTACGAAGGGTCAGCTAGCGAACGAGGGATTCTGTTGATTCAGCGATGCCACTCTGATAACTGCGGATTTTCATGCAGAATTAAATATCAATATGAGACGTGCATACATGCTTTTTTACATTCTTCAATACTGAATGCATTTTCAATCATCCTGTAAGTGCATCGAATCCGCAGTTTATTAATAACCGCTCCTTAACCGATATGTTTGCTACGGTAAAAGTGGATGGCTGATACTTAAAGTATAAATAAATTACTGATTCATTAGTAACGATACACTTGCTATCCCTTTTTTCTATGACATATCGGTAGAGATTCGCAGGTACTAACGAAGTCACGTTATTAGCCAGAGCAGACGCAATTGGATTTCGTATTTCTAATTTATGTCTAAGCGTAGCTAATCGACTATTAGCGTAGGAACTGAGAAGAGACATGTTCGGGGAGACAAAGTAAATTTGTTGATCTTGTTTTCCGATAGGTTCTCGGCGGCCTAGCTTAACGTCGGTTCACAGTTCGACGTCCTCGGCACGTAGTTACAGTGCGCGAAGACTTGAAAAGGAGAGAAATGAAAAGGAGCAACGACAGGCGTTGCAAGAATTGGCCAGGCAAAGGGAGCAACAGCAGCAGCAGCAGCAGGTCGCGCCTACGCCTAGTCCCAGGACCCCTCATTCCATGGACGAGCTGTTGCCCTCGGTGGAAGAGGGGAAAGAAGTCTTTTATAACGAGGTGTTTAAAATTGTACCTACGATCCCTCTCTCACCTGTACATCCTTACATATTTTATACAATGCATGAACACCCTCATATCTGCCCCATTCGATGTAATAATTTCTTATGTTTTATTGGATTTATATGTTTGAAACAGTCTAAAACTTGAATGAAAACGTAAATGGTGAATTGCTTGGGCACACAGCAGGTCCCGACGACTTCCGACATGACCGAAGAAACCGCGGCGAAGGCCGGCACGATTGTAAAGACGAACGTGGCAATATTCGACGAGATGCCACCCGTCACGACCTCGACAACGTCCATCTTCGAAACGAACATCGCGCCGCGTGCTACCGGTGACATTTTTCAAGTGTAGTTAAGGGGACTTAAAATATTGACTCAACCGTGACGCGAAAACCAGTGAGGCATTCGGTAAAAGAGGACGCTTAGCAGCACAGTTCCGCGGCGTAAGAAATGTGAAGCACCTAGTCATTTGAGAATGAACATCGGAGTGTTTCGATCGAAGAAAACTGTTGATAGGATATAATAAAAAAAAGAGTCGTTAAAATTATGCTTGAGCCACGCGCAAAGGCCTACGACTTATTCGATGAGATTTGTTTTTACTAAACGAGTATCGGCGACGCAATTGAGCCAGCTTTGAAGAAATGCAAAATTCATGATCGTTCGGCTTTAAAATATCTAATGTTCGTGAATATACCACGACGGAGGTGCTGATATATGAATGGGTACCTGAAGACGGGAATGGAACGTGTACATTTAAGTGAACGCCGAGCATTGAAGTGTTGCATATTTATTTACAGATCCAGCAGTGAATGTTCGAACGTTCTTTCTTGCCGATTTTTCAAAAACGTATAGTTTCAACAAAAGATTTTTATCAAATATCCGCCCTTCACCAATGAAACTTGTATCTTTTTTTACTGGAATACTTTGGTAATTCTAATTTTCACTTTGAACAAGAATGAAGTAGCATTAGTCGACTGATATTTTGCGACTCACGTTTTTTAAGCGAATCATTGTTTCGATGGTAGTTCTTGTTTATAAAACGAGTCATAGCGATTGATAGAAGCGGAGATATTTAGGACAGAGATAATTCATTGAGATTTCCTTACATATCAGCGATGATATCGACTCTTTCCTTCTCTTATTCTTTTTCAAATACAATAGATCACAATTGCGAGCCTCGTCGGTTTAGTGAGTGATCTTTACAATTTTTATTCCCTGTTTCGTATTATCAATTTAATCACATATCAACGACGGAACAAGATCATTTTCAACGCTACAGGGATCGGAAATTTCTATAAAAATCTCTCGAGAAGAGGAATTAAACTGGAATCACGCGCATAGATTAAATCGTTTAATCTGGAGACAGGATTTGATGTTGTTAAAAAGCAATTGGCAGGGCATTTCTCGAGTGGGTCGAGGCTAAACATACCTCTATAATCTTAGGTAAATTACTCCGCGAGAACCGAAGGAGGAACGAAACATAGAACTGATGCTTGGACGGAAACGTGGTATCAAAATCGTGCTAAAATTAAAAAAAAGAAAAAAAGAACGCTGTGCTACGAGTATTACGATCTCGTTATCTCGCTTTTTCGCGATCGAGACTGCGCGAGGCACGAGCGGTTTCTCATTTCTCTTAATTGCATTAAGAACAACCAACGGACGATATAATAAATGAACCTCCATCTATACATCACGTAAATGAACAGATTAAATATTTCGTCGGTTGCGTTGACCCATCCGTATGATAACGTTGTTAGTTTATGAGACACAGTCACGAAACGGTCTACGAGAGAACGCGTTTTCTTTAAAGTAATAGTAATATATTCTTGTTACTGATTGATTGAAAATTTTTATCTTTTTTCAAATGGTGTAAACTGTCTCGTTGCATCGATACTCCCGAGTCGCCCGGCTCTCTGATGTAAATTGTAGCGGTAAAAAATTCGTTAAAAACAAATTACATATATTCTATATATAAAAATTCTATATAATGCGTGTATATACGTAAAAAGCGAACATGCACGAGGGGCTGTGTTGCATTTGAGAAAGGGGGGGACGAAGAGAATGCACGTATAATTGCTGTTGAGCGAGGGAATGAAAAGAAATGTGTATCGGCGACTGTTCTCGTGTTCGAATAATTACGCTGCCTTTCCCGATGAATAAATCTAAAAGGAAGAAACAACCTAGTGAAAATTACGCAGAAAATATGTAGAGGACGAGAATTTTAACGAGCGTTCTCGCGGCTAATAATAAGTCATGCACGTACACACATTCACACAGGAGACACGTATACAGGGAGAATTGTAAGAAAATGGGACATGAACACACAGAAGCACGTTTGGCGACGGTTGCACGCCCAATTTCGATCGTGGTCGAATAACTTTGATTCGAATTAATATCGTCACAGCCCGCGTATGATTATTGTCACGATTGTATTATTATTATTTATGCGAGATGGTTTGAACCGCTGCCTGATTTCTAAAACGGTCGATGTGAACACGTTATCGTTTTATCCCATTTTAAATGTATACTGTATAATAAAATTGTAATATAGTCGTTGGGCAAATAAAGCTCGCTTTTCGATATACACACACACACATACATCTTGAGACCCTACGTTCCTCCCCCTATTATGAATTTTACATCTCATTACCAACGATCCCCGTAAATCCCTTCAGGTTTTTGTTAATTTTATATGAACCTTCGTATCGCACAATCTGAATTCGCCATGGACACGAATCCTCGATTTCAAAAAGCTAGTGTCTCGTACCAGTTCTATGAGAACACTTCGACGTTCTCCGTACTTTCGTTTAAAGAATCTCGCAACGATGGAAGAGATCAATGTTCAAATAAACGATCCAGAAAATATTCTAAAGCCCGTAATGTACGTCTCGTGGATTTTAGGCGTGGGAATCGCGCGACCGATTAATTGTCCGAAATGGATCACTGCGATCATTCGAGTGATCCATTTCTCTGCGTGTTCGGTGATCGTCGCGTTCAGCGCGATGGATTTCGCTAACTTCGGCAAGGAGTTCACCAGCGAATTGTTCAAAATCATGTACTTCGTGAACGAATCAGTGAGCCACCTCGCTCACTACTACTACGTTTGCCACATCGGGATACATTACGAGAAATGGCCTGAATTAATGAAGAAGTTGCAATCCTTGGATCAGAATATTCAGAGAGAACTAACGATCGATGATCGATGCGTGAAAATTAGACAAATCTTTGCTATTCTGATTGTAATCTTGTGTGGACCACTGGCGCTAATTGGTCATGTCCTTTATTATTATTTCATCGCACTTGATCAGATATTTACTTCCGATTTACTTCTTTATTATACGATTGCACAGATATTGATCAACAGTTTCGTATTTGACGTTGTCGTGTATGTGATCTATCGTAGATTCAAGGCGATCAGTGAAATGATCGCGCAATTAGATGGGAGATTGGGAGCCTACTGGATCGCGTTGAAGATGAGAAGAATTAGAAAACTGCATAATGGTACGTACTCGAATTAGTGGGAATCATATCTGTTTTTTTAATGAAATAACTCTGCATTATTATGGCGATTGCATGACTTCTTGCAGAGATACATTCTGTAATAATAACAGTAAACGAGATTTACGGCATGGATCTGTTACTGTGCTCCACAAACGCTTTCATAATGGTAGTCTCAAAATTATTCAGGATCTATATGAGCGCAGCAGAAAACAAAACTGGTTTCATATTCCTGAACAACGTGATTTGGATCATCTATGGAACGCAGTTTATTATAATGTGTTGGGTGTGCACACTCACCCATCGAGAGATAAATGAAATTGGGATTTGCACGATGAATTTCGCGTTAAACCAACATTCCACGAAGAATAAATTGTCTTCTTTTAGAAATTTTCGTAACAATGTTCGAGAGGAATTAGAGAATAACTTCGAGCGCGATAACGTTAGGAATGAGATTAATGATTTCTTGTTACAATTACAACAATATCGAAACGCGTTTACCGCGTGCGATTTCTTCGAGATGGATCATTCTCTGTTGACAAGAGTAAGTACGACTGTTTCTCGTTATGTACCTGATAACTCCGTCAATAATATTGTTGATACAATGCTATCTATTTTTAGTTTATCAGCGTTATCACCACGTACTTAATAATTCTCGTACAATTTTACAAGCCGGAATTTTCATGAAGAGACGTACAGAGTATATAGAAATAAATACAC